TAATTGTAGTATCTAAAATGCATATTTTAAGGTTGAAATGCTCTCCAGGTTGCCCTCAGAACCCCAAGGGTTAGGTAATTTTCATGTGTATAATATAATATACTACTAATTGGTGGTTACTAAAGAAACTTTGGTACCAAGGAAAAGAGATCATATCAGTTCCTATTTCAAGTCCTATGGAGAGGAACAGGACAACCCATTTGGATCTCAGTTCTATTGGTTGCTGATTATTTGCATTTTCTGTACTTACACATAGGTAAGTTTGTAATACTTTGGTGACAAAATACATTTTTAAGATCTGGGGTGAGTTTGACTCGTGTAATCATTATCAAAGGTTCTTATCTTGACTAGCTGCTTTGTGGGGAAAAGAAGTGTAGTTAACATTCCATGGAGTTAAGCAAAGAGAGAGATCGCTTTTAGGAATAACCCAGTATTGCTCGCAGTTAGTTATCACTTCTCTGTTATGTGATGTGTTTGAAAAGCTATGTGTAGGTACACGGTACTCTAAAGAGCATGGCTGCCAGAAACTGCTTTCCTGCTTCTGAGTTGATAATGGATGACTTCATCTTACAGCATTATTGAATTTGCCACCTAAATTAGAGCCATAACCAGGCAATGCACATTCCTACATCAATATGAGCAAGTTATGATATCAGGAACATACAATTTTGGAAGTCTGAGAGTACAAAATGTTTTTTTAAAATTGAAGATTAAATTTATTAGAGCATCTTGGGTGTTTTGCATCATCTCTCAAACTCTTGTTAGACCAACTGACTTATGGAAAGGAATTTGTCATATATAGGAGAAAACTTATTTTAAATCAGTGGGGAGAAATTTTTTAAGCAACTTCCATAGGAATAATTGGCTATTCAATTGGAAAATGTTTTAAATCAAGTTAGATTCCTACTTCACAACATAGGCAAATGAGTTTCAGAAGGACTAACATGCCAAGCAAAAACAATTTGTTAAAGTATTAGGAAGATGTCGAAAAAGCACTCATAAGCAAGATACAAAACCAAGAATCCAAAAGAGAAGGGAGTGACACATTGACCTATATTCATGTTTAAACCTTCTGGAAGACCCTTGTCTTCCAAGGTAAAAGGTAAGATACAGACCAGGTAAAAGATTTGCAATATATAAAGTATCTATATTACATATATACACATATATATATTGCATATATATGTACATAAGCTTTTTAAATGAATAAAGCATATGAGGATATAAGCAAAGGCAATTCAACTGAGAAATACAAGTGACTCATGAAAGAAAAGGTCCTCCAACAGTGAGGCATATTTTACCCATCATCTGTGTAGGCAAACAGTAGGCAACAGTGTGCAACATGTGAAGAAATAAGACTTGAAGTTATCTGGGGGTGGAGGCTGAAGGGAAATTTGGAAGTCTTGGTGTCAAAATTTAAATACTGTGCTTTCTTTGACATAGCTCTTCTTGGATAAATACTTAAGCATGTTCAGAAAGAATTATATATGAAGATGTTTAATACGTTTATAATAAAAATTGGAAAGACATAAATGTTCATGAAGGAATGATTAAATAGATTGTGGAGTATTATGTAAGAGTCAAAGAGAAGGAGTTACAGTTATACATACTAATAGGAAAGTTATGAAATCACTGAGTGGAAACAAGTATTTAGTTTAATATTGCACAAGAGTGTAACTTACATACAGTATGGTCTCATTTATTTAAAAACCTCATAAAACAACACTGTAACTTGCTGTTTATATTCACATATGGAACGCATGGGGAAAGGTCATACATCAAAGGAGCAATGGCCATCTCTTGTTTTCTCTGAAGAAGGTGATTGGATAAGGCGGCCTGAATGGTCTTTCACTTGTACTTGTTCTTTGAGAACTAATTTATGAAAAAGACACCCTCTTACAGAAGGTGTTACTTATGCAGCTAAATTGTAAACAAAGCAAAGCTGCCTTGTGAGATGATTTGGGGCCACCCATTCTTCTGGTTTTCTCACTGTGCTTCTGTGTCTTTCATCACTTAGGCTGGTCCACTTAAACACTCCCGGCCACATAGCTCTTCAAGTGAAACTGGCTAAGTGTGAAGTGAAACTGCTAATTGTTCATAAACTTACTATCTTATAACCAGTGAGCAAAAACTTACTATTTTATGCCATTTGGTCATTCCCTTTGTATGAGCAGTAACTGGAAAAGAGAGTTATTTTCAAGCACTTTTGGATCAATATTTATTCTGAAATGTCAGGGTACCTTGGTAAAAATGTCAAAATGTTAAAACTGAAGCCTTTTTTTTTCTTACTAGAAAGTAAAAATGGCATGTATTTGTAACTAGATTCAAGTCCAATACATTGGATTAAAATTTCTGCCAAATATTCTTAACATCTTTCTAGTTTTAGCAATAACAATATATTACTTTCACATTTAAAAAAATACCATAATAATTGTGCAAGGCAAGTGTGTGAAAAACTTATCTTCATTCTACACTTTAGTAAATTCAGGCTAAACCATCAAAGTAACCAGAATTAAGTTTAGGGTTCAAGTTTTCTGAACCCTAAGTTCTTATTCCCTCTAGAGAATAAGAGGGAATTTTCCACAAACTATATACATTTTCTTAAATCTTCTAACAGTGCTAAAACTGCAAATTTTATTTGTGAGGATTGTAGCATTTAAGAAGGTGGGTAAAATTCCATTTAGAAAAAGGTGAAATTTAGTTTAACAAGAAATGAATTTGAACTGTGAATAAAGAAGAAACTCTCCTCTTGCATTGAGGGTTTGGAAAAATAAAATTTTGGTCTATCACAAAATAAATGTTCATTTGTACATGAGAAAGGAATTCTCCACACTGTTCTGTTTTTAAATGGATCTGGCATTGCTCTTTCACTATGAAAATGGATTCTAAGTCCTAAGCCATAGTCTAAAGGAATCATATATTAATTTTTCAATGCCTGAACTTGAGACATTCTAAGGTTGTATTATTCCTGTACCCAATAATATTTTTACACAAAAAATTTCTGCTGTATGTTTTCCGGCTTTATGAAAACAAAGCTTACATTTCACTATATCTTAAGTCAAAGTCATCTGAATGTATCTTAAAATTCTCTAAGTTCAGTTAAGTACTAAAATAACAAATGTCATTTATCCTATACTAGCATTTACTATAGCTTACAGCTCAGTAACTCAGTAGAACACTGTGAAACTGCATGCAGCTACAAACATCCATGTTGAATTTCCTGGAATAAATGATCAAAATAAATGTCAGAGGTGCTGATTTCATTGTAATGTCTGCTGACCGTCATCACTCATAGAAACCATAAAAAAAGCACGCGACGTTTTCCTCCTTGGAATTGTCAGACCTGCTTCTGAAAATCGGTGGTTGAAACTGTATGCTGTGTCCCTGTCTTTAAATTCCTACGGGGAAGTAAGTCTGTAGCCCTCAGTCTGTACTGAACCGACCAGGGCAGCGCCAAAGATAAGATGGGAGCTCTGCAAAGGCAAGTTATAGAATAACAGAGAACAGAGGACATCGGGAATGTGATGAAATGAGGCACCCATCTGCCTGGTGTGCAAAAATACAAAGCTACCCTCCCATTTGCTTTTTGTGTGTGTGTGGGGGGGGGTACTGAGGTTTGAACTCAGGGCCTACACCTTGAGCCACTCCACCAGCCCTATTTTTGTGAAGGGTTTTTCAGCTAGGATCTCGAGAACTATTTGCCTGGGCTGGCTTCGAACCGCAATCCCCCTTATCTCTGCCTCCTAAGTAGCTAGGATTACAGGCGTGAGCCACCAGCGCCCGGGTCCCATCTGCTTTAGATAGTGCCTTTGCCTGCTTTGCTGTCACTATTTGGGAGTGAACAGGTTTGAAAATTCGAGGGTGCCATTAGTTCGGGAAAATAACAGGTTTAGTATATATTTTAATCACGTTTAGACGACATAAAAGGCAGATTTTTAGGTGAGCCACTATCCCAACACTAGCCAGCCAACTTCACAGGAGAAAAGGGCAAATGATGCTATTTTTTCAGGTTTGGGAAAATCTATTTTCGCTCTTTAAAAAGACGAAAGGTATCGCAGGGGCAATGAGGCCTGGAACGAGGCGGCTAGGTTTTAGACGCTTTAGGAATTTCCTAAACTGCCAGAAATTCCGAGCTTTCAAGTGACACCTAAGCCGCAGTTTAGCTGCTCTTATCTGGCAGGAAACAAAATACCACCGATAAGAGAATGAGATAGCCATTCTCTTTCCTTGCACTATGTCGAGATTCTTCCAAGTTCCATCACTGGTGCACGCAGGATGCTCCAATTCTTCCACACCTGGGTCACCATGGCTAGGGCGCTTGGGCTCGTCTTGCCCTGTCCTTGCCTGTCTCCGCGGCGAGAGCCACCTCTTCAGCGCTCGTCCTAGGAGGTGCGTTTATGCCTGGCATGGATTGAGATAGCCAGGACCTCAGAAGCCCAATGACACCAGAAAAGAAGCTCCCTGGGGCACAAGAACCTCTAGCAATATGCTCAGGAATTGCAGGAGCAAACCGTAGCTTTCACTGCACTCCAGCTAACCGAGAGGAAAATACAGGGCGCGGCACAGTGGCCTGTCCCGCCTAGCCGCGCGGGGTGAAATTTCCGGCACCCGGGCCAGCTAAGACACAGGATTTGCACCGCAGCCTCTCAGCTCCCGGAGTCGGAGCCCAGCGCTCCAGGCGGCTTCTCCAATTTCTCCCCTAAGTGCGAAGGAAATCGCCCTTTTTGCTCCGTTACTGCAAGGCCAGAAGATCTGGGAGCTGCACCCGGCTGGGGAGGACTCGGCGGGCCGGGGGGCTCCCCGGCGAGGCCCTGGCGGTGGCTTTTCTGCGAGGGGTTAATAGCAGCTCCCGCGGCCCGGCGGGCGCGGACGCTTCCTCTCCGCGCGCCCGGGAACATGAATAGCGCGCCGGCAGGATGTTCGCCGGCCTGGCCCGGCAGTCAGGAAACATGAGAAGGCCTCGGTATTCCTGTTCCCGGGCCGCGCGCGCCTGTCTGGGTAAATAAAGCCGAGACGACGGCGGTGGCGGCGGTGAGCGCGCTGGAGCCCGCGCGGAAAACATGCGGCGGGGATGGGAGTGCGCCTAGCCTCGAGGCGGGACAGCCAGCCGCCCTGCCGCCGGCCGCAGGCCCAGCCGCCCCAGGTACAACTGTCGCGTCGCGGCGTCCCCTCTGGGAGGGACCACCGCACGCGAGTCTGGCTCTGGCTTTCGCATCGCTCTTTCCCTCTGCCTTGAGCACCCACGCTCTTCCCTCCCTCCCCTCACCTTTTTCCGAGGTCCCCTGGTGGGGACGCCCCCAGGTGGCTGCCAAGGCTGGCCCAAGGGTCTGCGAAGAGTCTGGGAGCCCACCTGGCCGAGCTTCCTTTGCGTTACAATTCTTCGTGGGCGTTGGGCGGGGCACTGCCGCAGGGAGTGAGCTCCCCAGCACAGTTTGGAGTGATTCAGGGTAAGTGGGGCGCTCGAGAGCCGAAAAAGGGCACTAGGGACCCCTCGTGGGAGTCCAGGGAGGGTAGGAGGGCAGATCACAGCCCCCCCCCCACCCACTGTAATAGTTCGAGCTCTCGGACTTGTGCCACCTCCTGCCACCTCGCTTGCTGCCTGCAAACTCAGACGGTACAGGGGTTGTGTAGTTGTCCTCTGGGTGGAAAGGGTCCGAGATGGCAAACGTCGCCGTGGCCTCGCTAGGAAAATCACGCCCGTTTGGAATGGGACGAGGTGGAGGGACTGGGGAAGGTTGTCTTGCACAAGGAAAGCAGCGCGAACGCAAGTCACTACACGCACTGATTGAAAAAGAAAACAAGACTAGAACAGGGACACGAGTACCGAAATTTGCTTTGACACTTAACGCTGAGGCAGTGTGCACACCCCAGTCACTTACCTGTCTGCATGGGAGGACTCAGTCCTGGGGGACACGCGGCGGCCCACAAAGGTCTGACCTCACCTTCCACACGAATGCTAATGGTCGCCGTCGTTTAGTTGCTGTGGCCACGGCTCTGTCGCGCGTGGCCTCTGCGGCGGTGGCCAGAGGGCGGGGCAGGGGGTGTTGGCGAGTGTAAGCGCGGCGAGGCTGTGTGTGTGTGTGTGTGTGTGCGTGTGCGTGTGCGTGTGCGTGTGTGTGTGTGCGTGTGTGTTTGGAGGGAGCAGCAGAGAGGGCGCTGGTAGTGTTCGGGAACTACCAGAAGCCGTAAGTCAGGAGATGGGGGCTGTAAAGCGGCTGTTCCGCTGCAGCGCGGGCTCGCTCCTGACGCCCGCAGGTAGCAGACGGAGGTCCCGCTGCAGTTTACTCCGGAGACAAGCTGCAGGCTTTTCCGTACCCCGCGGACAGTCAGCGGGGTGCACCGACAGCTAGGCTTCTTGTTTTAGATTTTGGTATCTTTAAGCCTTTGAAATGGGCTTGATGCCGGGGTCTTGCGCCCGCATTGAGGAAGAGCACAGCACTGGCTACACTAACCCCCGGGATTCGGCACCAGGCGCCGTCGACCTGCCTGGGCGCCCGGGAACTGGCTAGGAGATAATAGGAAGACTTAGAGAATGTGGTGTATTTAAAACTGACGCCACATAACTTTCTAGCTGTGGAGTTCACTCCTAAAACTTTCTCCTCTTACCCCAACCCCGGGGGACTTTAGCCGAAAGACGCGGGTCTTTCACCCAAACCATACAGGATCAAAACAAACAAACAAAAAAATCAAACACACGAACACCTCTGAAAGCACGCGACTGGGACTCATTTACTGGACCTTACTGATGCAGTTGCTCATATTATCCCAAATATTCCCTTCCAACACCTCCCGACACCCCGAGTGAGGGCTGCAAGAGGCTTTAGCCTTCTGTTGTGATTAAAGAACACGCGGTGCCTCTTGCCCATCTTGCTATGGTATCCCGAGTGTGCTTCTCTTCGTCCTCCTACTTAATTACTCCGGGTTGAAGTTCCTGGAGGTAGGGATGGGAGCTTGATCGTCTGGGCAAGAAGAGCTGGGACTAGTCCCGGGATTGCACAGTGTGTGCGTGGGCGTTGGGAGGGTGGATGGGGGACAGCCAGGTGGGGAGAGGCGGGCGATTTCTGGTCCAGAAGCAGCAGTGCCGCTCCGCCCCTCGGCTCCGCAGCCCCGTGCCCCTGCCAAGTTCAGGGCCTCGGACCTTCAGGAATCTGAGCACTGTCAGTGAGTAACGTGATGCCCTTTCCTCTTCTAGAACCCGAGCCCTGTTACGGAGCTCCTGGCGGCCCGGCCCCGAGGCGCAGCGGCCGCGCCGAGCATCCCAGCCAGCTCGCACCATGAACACCATTGTCTTCAACAAGCTCAGCGGCACCGTGCTTTTTGAGGACCGAAGTGCTCCAGAGCGGGATCGGGGTGGCCGGCCCTATGGCGGTGTCCTGGACAGTCCCCATGCCCGCCCCGACGTGGGCATCCCCGACGGCCCGCACCTCAAGGACAACCTTGGCCTGAGACACCGGAGGACCGGGTACGCAAATGCTCCCAGGGGTCCTGCCCGCCTGCATCCTGGAGGGGTGGAGGCGGCAAGTGGCGAGGGAATCAAATGGAAAGGACCTGCGGATAGGGAGGTCTGGAGTTTCCCCAAGAGGGCAAGGCTGAGCCTTCTGGCTCGCGCGTCCTTATCAAAAGGTGTAGCTTCCCAAAGTGGGGAATCAATTTCTTAGAACAGGTCAAAAGAGGCTTGCTGGATACTGAGTTGGAACTGTTGCTCAGTCCTTTGCTACCTTGACTTCAGGGGAGTCTCCTGTCCCCTCTCCCTACCTCGGGCACAGATGAGACAGAGCGGGATGCGTAGGAACGGGGCAGATCCAAGCAGATATAGATTCGCAAGTCAGGCCTAGGGGGACTTCCTCTTCTGTCGCCAGAGGCCTTCGCCTTGGCCTCCATCACTCCAGGCCTGAGATTAAGTGTTGAGAAGGTCAACGCCGGCAGGGCGTCCCGGGCGCGCGCAGCTCGGCGGGGCCCGCGGCGAGCCCGGAGGGGGAGCTTTCGGTTTAGCGGGGTAAAGGGGCTGTTGGGGGGTGGGAGCTCGCGGGTGGGCCATCTGCTCTGGCTGCGGGGACATGAAGGGCAGTCTCTGCCCAGCCAGATCCTGGCGGCTCCAGGAGCGGCCCGCGGGGGAGGTGGGGGGGACTTCCTGGCTGCCTCCACCTGAACGATTGCATCAGCTGCTTGTTCTGCGGCGTTGCTGGTTAGTAAAATAGAGATTAGGTTTCCTCAAAATATTACTACCAGTCGGTTCGGATGGAATTGCTCTTCAAAGTGTTTAAAGAGGCAGAAGCCCTGGAGGCAGCGGCGCAGGCGCGCAAGGTTCCCGGTGAGGCCCGGCGCGCGGTCTGCTGCGCGGCGACACCTCCCGGAGCCTCCCGGGAGCGCAGCATCCAACGCCCGGCTCCAGGCTTTTGATTGCTTCTGCCTTCTCCTTTGAATGTGCGTTTCCTCGGGTGTTTTAACTTTACCTGAAGGGAGGGACCATTCATACTTTTCATTTTCCCATAACATGAAAACGGCCCCTAGAGTCCTTTTTAGGTTCTGTATCCATCCACGAATCTGTCCTTTGAAAGTTTCCCCCTTTCCCAAAGAATGAAAGGAAATAGGAGAGAGCCCAAAGAGAGCTGGGTGGGCCATTATCCTCTGCTTTATTCCTCCCTCCGTCTAGTGAGCGACCTATTCCTAGACTACTGACAGCTGGAAGCGCGGGGAGCCAGGCAGGAGTTCCCTAAAGGGACGGTGGAGAGCCCTCGGGGAGCCCGCGGCCGACCTTCCCCCTACCCCTGGTGCCAGGGCCACTCGAGGTCTTGGTGCCAGCGGGCAAACAGTGGCAGACAGTTCGTCCTGTTGTCTAGATCTGCAGCTTGATTACCAGTTATCTTCAATCACTTAAACCCTCCTCCCCTAAACCTCTACCTTTGGTTACTGAGTTCAAGTTATCTCCCTTTCCAAGATTAACCTAGCATCTGCACCGACATATGATTCCCTGCGACAAGCAGGCTCTTTCAAAGAGAGATGCTGAGGAAACGACACACCCACACAGCACAGAAACTGTGGGACTTCCTTTGGAAGTAGGAGCGCATAGCAGAGCAGGGAACCCTTGGGTGCGGGGCGGGGCTTTGCGGCCATTCCCCACCCGCCCGGGGCTGTGGCCTCAGAAATGCCTACTAATATGGAGGGTCCCAGCACCCAGCCCCCAAACGGCGCAGCCCACCACGGCCTCTTCTTCTCTCCATGCTCCAGGGCCCGACAGAATGGCGGGAAGGTGAGGCACAAGCGGCAGGCCCTGCAAGATATGGCGCGGCCGCTCAAGCAGTGGCTTTACAAGCACCGTGACAACCCGTACCCCACCAAGACCGAGAAGATACTCTTGGCCCTCGGCTCGCAGATGACGCTAGTGCAGGTAATCGGGACTCATCGAGCCGGATCCGAGTCCCTTGGAGCGGCTGAAGACCAGGCACCCTTAGTATTTGTTGGTTCTCCCTGTGGTGAGAACCTGATGGAGCCTGATGCTCTGGCTTCTGCTGCTGAGGGTGACCAGGTGCAGAGTCCAGTTCTGGGAAAAGTGTTTCTGGATTTCTTCTCAACCCTATCACTGCAGTACTTTAACGGAACTTCATGGCACTTGATGCTGATACTTTTCTACTGGGCTTAAAGAGAAAAGGCAGGTTTCAGATTTCTGGTGGTTGGGTTACACAGTCAGGTGTAGGAAAATGGAGTTTGTTTCTTCTCTAATGGGAAAACACTAGCTTTGCCTAACATAATATAATTTGCTATTCCCCCAAACATGGTGTTGTAGAGCAGTTGTTATCAACATTTTATAGGTGACAGAACCAAGGTGCATGAAGTGTAAGGGGGAGAGGCAGGCCTGGAAATAAAAACAAAACAAAACAAAAATGTAATTCAAGATCAAATGCCTTTTCCATAACACCATAGTTTTCTTTAATAAATATAGTGGCACAAGATTTTATGGATGTGAAGAAAACACAAAGAAGAGAAGCTGGGAAGTTTTATATGTACATTACAGTAGCAATTTCACAAATGTACATTATGGTCAACTTACAAATGACTGCATTTGGGAAATTTTGGACATACAATAAGAGGGAAAGTAAATTTTAAAAAAATTCATCTAATAAAATAAAAATTACTTTCTAGAGCGTTTAAAATGTTTATTTAGGGATTACTGCAAAGTTTGATAAAGCATGAAAGTAGTCTTTGGGCTTATTAAAATTCTTATATGCATTTTTCTGCTTATTTTCAGAATACAATTATAGAGAAAAATGTTTTCTTTTAACGAGAAATGGGTATTAATAGTGACTGTCTGCAGCCCTGAAAGGAAAAATTGATTTCACCTTCTTGACTTTATATCTATTTAACATAAAACTATGAACCTTTCAATGATTTACAAAAGTAGTTCCTAAATAAATTATTGCCATAGAAAAATGACATGAAAATAAACAAAATTTTAGTTTAAATAGATATCCTACTTATTTTGACCACACAGTAATTTGTAGTTTTTGATTATTTTTCAGTGATGTCATCCATAAAATGTTACATGGTTTTGGTTGACTATATGACTTCCTATCTAATGCTTGCCATTCTTTCATACATAAAGCAAAAAAATCAATATATTTTAGAATATTTTTGATTATGAAAGGTAACATTTGTCATTAAATTATTTATAATAATAGGTCATACCCCTGTAAAATGATTTCCAAATTTTACTGTAAATGAAATTAGTTTCTTAAACTTTAAAGTGATAAATAGAAAAAGGTGCAATGTATAGAATTACCAAGAAACCTTATATATAATCCAGTTTGGATCCAATTCTTTTCAATTAAGCACAATGGTATGTTGATGTAAAATATATATACTTGTAATACATATATCTATACACATACACATATATCTATTTTTTATATTGGGGCTTATATAAGTCAGACAATTAAACATCCAAAGCAAATTTTGACTGTGGAAGATTGTGTAAATTATAGAAGTATTTTGTCCTTCTGGGGAAGAACTATAAAGCTGTGGTCTGAGTAATGCTTTCGATCCTTGCAAATTAATGAGTCAGATTCTGCTGTGACTGAGCTTCTCCTGTGGGGTCAGGCTTCCTGGGAGGGTGATCACATCATGGGGTTCACCCCAGGGCCTGGCACCTTGTATATAGTGAACTATGCCTACAGGTTTATAGAGCGAATGGCTTCCTTTTGGGAATTACATCGCTCATCACGTGCCTTTCCAGAATATCTTTCTGCCAACTAATGAATGACTTGCATTCTAAGATGTTCTGGTTTTTCTAATTTTTTTTTTCAGTCCTGGGGTTTGAATTCAAGGCCTTGAATGCTTACTAGGCAGGCATTCTACCACTTAAATCACTCCACCATCCCAAGTTTTAAAACCCACCCTATTTTAGAGAATAAGCAGCAGAAAGAGTATTATCTTTAGTACTATCTGATGGTTCTGTAGGACAAGCACAAGTGTAGTTCATTTAATTTTCAAAATATCTGGAAATATGTCATCATCTATGTCTGTGGAAAATATGGAGTACTTCCATTATTTCTGTCTGAACTCTTACTTATTGGCTACAGGGCCTTCTATCTCCCATTTCTCATGGCTTATATTAACAAGTTGTCAGCATAAATGCTTTATTCCTCTACTATAAAAATATCTTATATTTTGGGGATTTATTTTACATTTAGCATTTTCCTCATAGTGTGTGTCAGATTTTTCATACAAGGTAATTTTTGCTTTTACTTTGTGACTCTTAGGTTGATAAGAAAAAGAATGAAACATGGTCAGTAAGCAATATCCCATGAAACCTAGAAATAAAAAGATGGAAATATTCTTTAAAGCTTGAAAAAAGGTACAGAATCTCTGAAGACATTAATCTACGCCTAAATTTCTTTCTGGAAAGTGAAACAGAAAAATGTATATACAACTTTCACTTAATTCTCTCACTTGGTGGCAGTTTGTCCCAATTTGCTATAACTATGTGTAACTCATTTGCATTATCAACCTAGCATCTTTTTAATGAGATGAGCATCTTATTAAAATTACCAGGGAGATGGCTTCTGTGTTTGCATACTTAGATATTAATCAAGCAAACTTCTCTGTGCTTGGCTTCCATAGCTGACCCTTGTTCAGATATTATAAAAGTATGCTACATACTTTCAAATAGAAACAGCTTTATTGTGGAATAATACAAGGAAATATGGGATTGGGGTTTTGTACTATTGTAGAATAAGAGCTTACCAAGGAGTAAATATTGGAGTTAGAACTTCTGCCTTTTATAAAACAAGTTTCAAATTCCTGTGATGTGTCCATGTAGTCTTTTTCTTTTTTTCTTTTTTTCTTTGTGGTACTGGGGTTTGAACTCCGGGCCTTCACCTTAAGCCACTCCGCTAGCCCTATATTCTGATGAAATTTTTCAAGATAGGGTCTTGTGAACTATTTGCCCACGTTGGCTTGGAACCACGATCCTCTGATCGTTGCCTCCTGAGTAGCTAGGATTACAGGTGTAAGCCACAAGCACCTGGCCCATTGTACTCTTTGGTTAAAACTGCTGTGTGGCAGGATTGTCCCCTATGTTGCAATGACTGTTTTAGTGAGGAATTGAGGACTTCTGCTGTGATGATCCTTAGCAATCGCAAGGCTGGTAGCAACTGCTAAATATTCAAACCAAATCACAGAGTGATTTTTATACATTAGTCCAAGTGTTAGACTACATGGTCCAGAGGCGAGGTGCTCACTCTTCCAGCTGAATAATCCAAAATAAGCATAATGCAGTGTGTTCAAAGGTGGACAGATGCTAGTGTGCCTGTGTGGGCTCACTCTGCCAATATGATGACTGTAAACACCTGTGTTCAAGTAGTATGAAAATTACTTGGTTTTCTCTTCCAGTTTCTAGATATTTGCATCCTTACATATTCACTGTAAAATATAGAATTTTTAAAGCTCTAAGTTTGACATTAAAACACTGCTCCAGAATCTACCTTTGGTAAGTCGGCCTTTTCCATGTAAAATATAATTTAAACAGAGTATGAATGACCCTGAGGGTGAAAGGTCGAAGACATGAATTGGTACTTTTACCTTCAGCTAAACATGGAGTTCACATTAATTCATCAGGAAAAAATTATGAAAATATTTATGCAAATTCATTAACCAACAATTTGTCTGCTCTAACAGACAAAAGCAGGATGCAAGTAGATATTAAACACCTCAGACTATATCAGCTGTTAGGCTGTACTGTAAACTTCTGGTAATAAAATTCTGGCAACGTAAATATATTAGCAGATTGGGTGCCTGTCAAACTTATGAAATCAGTTTAGAAATACCTATGTTGAATATCAGCAACCCTTTTTGGAAAATCTCCTAAAGTGTCACTATTATAAAATGTTAAGGACTTGGAGTATATAAAACATGGAAAGGGATATGACCCCTATATGTGAAAAGTTAGTTAATCCCCCATGACATTTAAAAGTTCCCCATTATTGTACATTAAAACTGAAGTATACTAACATTCTTTAAATTGGAAGACCATTCTGTTTTCATTATATGAAGAGCATCATGCAATTGGATTTTACACTGTATTATGTGGGTTTGGTGTAAGTTAGGTAAGATTTAGCTAATTCAGTCGAATTATGTGCTGTTTAGTAAAGAAAATAACAAAAAAGTCTTGGAATTGTGTTCTTTGAAATATGAGCAGTGCAGGCATTGGGGAAGTTGTAGACTGTCCCCTGTGTGTGAAAGGAGCAAAGATCAAAATCACAGAGATCTGATTGCTGGAGAGAGACGTGGTGTGACAGAAGATAGGTTTGTGCCATCTGTAAAGGAAGTTGACACAGGTATCAGGAAGTTTGGGCTGTGTTCACAGGTCTTAGTTTTTAACTTGATAAGGATATTGGGAACCCTCTAATCCATTTTAGAGTGGATGATTCTTTTTTGTGCTGGGATTAAACTGAAGACCTTGCACATGCCAGACAAAATCTTTATCCTTGAGCTATTCCCTAGACACTAGATTAAAGAGTTGAAATTCAGGAAAGCTGAATAAGTTAACTAAATACATACATTTTTGGTCAATTCAGAACAGGATACCAGATCTCTTCCTATCATACCCCAGTTACAGGTTAACAGGATATTAATGAGGATTTGAAAAAGTTGAATGATTAGCTGGGTTCAGCGGCTCACATCTGTAATCCTAGCTACTCCAGAGATAGAGATCAGGAAGATCACATACTGAGACCAGTTTGGGCAAAAAGTTAGTGAGGATCCCCCTCATTGCAACAAACAAGTTGGATATGACAGAGCCTTTCTGTAATCCCAGCCACACACCAGACAGGAGGATCACAGTCTAAGGCTGGGCCAAGCAAAAAGTATAAAACTCTATCTGAAAAGTAACTAAAGCAAGAAGAGTTGGGGCTATGGCCCAAGTGATAGAGCACCTGCCTAGCAAACATGTAGCCCTAAGTTCAAACCCCAGTACCACTGAGAAAAAAAAGAAGTTAAATCAAAATGGTGCATCAAGACTTGAATTTGATGACAATCATTAAGATCCATTTTAAGAGATCAGACTCCAGCTGTCGGTGTGGCTAAAGTGGTAAAGGACCTGCCTAGCAAGCATGAGGCCCGGAGTTCAAACCTCAGTACCACAAAAAAATAAATAAAGAAAGAAGAAAATAAAAAGAGCGATCGGAATTGAACATAGGAGATTTGAAAGAAAATGTTAGTTAGTAGTCATGAGGGTGAAATGACCGTTCTCACAGTGAGGTGGAGAATCAGAGGATGTTGAAGAAGTGTCATGAAGCAAGGCACTTCCTGCTTCCACAGCCAATGCTGTCCCACGTGTGCCAGTCAGTCACGTCTAGTCTTCGCTGCTGGTCTTTCCAGGAGAGCTGGGGACAGTGCTTGCTCAGTCCTGGCACTTACCGTCATGGCCACGTCCTCAGTGTATTTGTTGTCTGCTATGGAAATCTGGGGAAGACTGAGAACTTGAAGTCCACTGAGTCATAGTGACAGGAGCTCATCTGGACAGGAGAGAAGTTGGTGAAGACAAAGGCTTCTGAAATGCGTGGCAAGACAGTACACCATCGCCCATGACGGTGATGGGATGGTTCCCATTGCTTAAGGCAGAAGGAGGCCATACGGCACTTACTGAATATTGAATTTATATGGAAAAACTATCACGTCTTAGCCATAGGCTTTTTTTAAAAGTAGAATTCACCACAGTTTCATCCAATAATTATGGCTTGAGCAATGTACAAAAAAATGTGTATTTTTAGCCTAACTCTTAAAAACAAAACAAACTTCCAGTGAAAACATTGCCACAAAAACCATTATAGTAGTAATATGGAGCCTGTTCTGGAACAAACTGGCAGAAAGGCTAATTCTTTTCCCATGTTTCATTCTTTTAAAAGCAAATTTTCTCCTTTCAAGTTTCTTTTTTCTTTTTTTCCAAATCTATACACTGATACTTTAGAAGAAACCTTAAGTCCCATTTTATCATGTAGAAATCCGTAACAATGGAAGTAATTTTCCTTTATTTTGCCTTCACCTGTGTGCTTAACAAACACTTGACATTCAGCTTAAAGCAAGGTATTCTTTGACTATTTTTGCTCTCACTGCTTCTCTGATTACTTTGCTGGTTCCTCTTTTTAACAGAACTGCCTCCTTAATTGCTGGTGGTTTCCAAAGCTTTTCCCTTGTCCCTTCTTCATTCTGGAGCTCTCAACCTCACCTATCACCTCTGTTTCCTCTTCTTCCTTTAGTTAAAGTGCTCCTTTTACTTTCTTGCAAGACACTCACTGATATGCTTGTCTAGCATCTCACACTAGATGTTCCCCAAACCAAGCACTTACTTTATCCTCACCTTTGCTTTTCAAAATGGCTCTAGCTTTCTTTTGCTTACATACTTGGAGGGCTCAAGGTCATCTTTAACTTCTCTCTCTTCCTCACCCCTCAGGTTGTCTCTGGAATCTGACTTCCATTTGCTTCTGTGTCCTCTTTTTTGGAAATATACTTCCCTACTGACTTCATCTAATCCAGCTCAGCCTTCCTTCAAAACTCATGAGGTCTTGAAGCATAAATGAAACTAACCACTCTTCCCTTGTTTTCCTGTATTCTTTGTTTTGATTTCTTTTGACATGGGGTGTATCACTATGTTATCCAAAGTAGCCTTGAACTCCTAGACTAAAGCTGTCCTCTTGCCTCAGTCTCCATGTAGCTGGGACTACAGGTGTTCAAACTACCTCCGACTTCATTTTATTTCAGTGCTGTGCCTACCATTTATTGCATTTCTTTCTTATATTTCTATACTCTTCTGCCTCTCTTGCTAGACTTTTCTCTTAATTAATCTTTTTCATGGCAAAGCCTCTTTATTTTTCTTATTCCCAGAGTGCAGAAGAAACTCAAACTCTATAGCGTGTGCTCAGAATGTTGAAGAGACGGATGACTGTGAAAACCCCATACCTTTGTGTCCTGAGAATAGCGAATGATCAAAGATGCAGAGAGAAGCTGCGATCATTTCTGAGAAAGTATTTGAATAATGGGTCATGTCTTGTTAATTAAAACAATACTGTCTTAGGTCTCAAATTGGTTTGCTAATGCAAGACGTCGGCTTAAGAACACTGTCCGGCAGCCAGATTTAAGCTGGGCCTTGAGAATAAAGCTGTACAACAAGTATGTGCAAGGGAACGCAGAGCGGCTGAGTGTGAGCAGTGACGACTCGTGTTCTGAAGGTCTGTTACGACTTTTCCTTTGCTTTCTTTGCTTTGCCTTTGTAATAAGTTTGCCTCCACTGCTGTTTTATAAAGTTGACCCTGCAAAATGAGAGAGTGATATAACAGTTCTTTTTATTGCATGAGGTAACTTCACTTTTTTTTTACAATTCTAATAATAATTTGACAGATTTATGGCCTTTCCCTCTTATTTATAGATTTATTGTGTCAGAATAACATTTTCTGTGAAATTTGTTAAAATTAAAATATCATAGGGAGAGGTTCCATAAATTCTTGCCTTTTGCCTAAAAATTAATCTTATATATCAAAGATAATTTTATACATAGTACGTATTTTTCCTTTATATAGATGATATATGTCTCCCTATAGAGAGAGAGTTATTACTGCGATCCTCCTGATCTCAGCCTCCTGTGTAGCTGGGATGACAGGCATGAGCCTTCATGCCCGGCTCTTGGATGAGATAGGGTCTAGCAAGTTTTTTGCCTGACTGGCCTTGAACTGCAATTCTGCTGACTTCAGCCTCCCGAGTAGCTAGGATTACAGGTGTGAGCCACCGGTACCTGGCCCTTTGTGTATGTTTTTAGTGATCAAATGTGACAATTGAGTGATTGAAAAGTATCCTTCAGTGCAACTTGGTGGTATTTTCCCTTTTAGATGGAGAAAATCCTCCAAGAACTCACATGAACGAAGGGGGTTATCCTACTCCTGTTCACCATCCTGTGATTAAAAATGAAAGCTCAGTGATTAAAGCTGGAGTGAGGCCAGAGTCACAGGCTACTGAGGACTATGTGTCACCCCCTAAATACAAGAGCAGCTTGTTGAACCGTTACCTTAACGACTCTTTGAGACATGTCATGGCCACGAACACTGCCATGATGGGAAAAACAAGGCAGAGAAACCATTCAGGATCGTTTAGCTCCAATGAATTTGAGGAAGAATTGGTGTCTCCATCATCATCAGAGACCGAAGGCAACTTTGTCTATCGCACAGGTAAGCCTGTGGTTTTTGTGGTAATCACTGTGATGGCTTGTGTGAAAAGGAAATAAGAGAGGTTTATTTTGACAGGTACAAAAACACCGGATAATCTATGGATTGCCCATAATTTAGTTTATAATCTCTCGTGTTGTTTTTAATTGATGATATGTTAGTAAGTGATGTTCAGAGATTCTGAGATATTTTTAATTTTAATAATAAAGATAAAAGTTTTCATTCTTAATGGTAATTTTAATCTTAATGATGATGGTATTTAGAGGACGTATATATTGTCCTGTATGAATGACTTATAATAGAGCCAGTCATGCAAATATTTTATATTCCTTCTTTTCTCTTACATGCATTGATCACTAAGAGTGACAGGAAATGAACACAAATTAACACAAGTGCCAAGTTTTCCTGAAGGAAAATGTATAGGTCTGGCTTCACTTGTTTTAGAAATTTTACTTTCATTCCTGGAAAGCACAAATGGGGCTGATAAAAAGCTTTGACACTTTCACATTCATTCCAAATATACTGAGTCAATTTCTACCTGTCTCAAACACTCAGATGGAGTAGCAGGTTCGATAAAAATTTTCTATCTTGACTTCTATTTCCAGACAGATTCGCTTTTCAGAAGTGTTTGAGAAGGTTGCTTTGGAACAAGGCATGTGTATGACCTATATCTGGTACAGAGACAGTCTGGGTCCAGTCCTAAAAGTGCTAACAAATGACCTTTAGTGGTAGGTCTGGAAACAACTTCAGAAAGTATCCAGTCCAGCCACATTAGATTATAGATATGAAAACCACACCAAGAACATGTAGCAGTTATTCTCTGGTTGAAGAGTACAACTGAGCCAGCAACAAGGCAGGAGGTGCCTCACCACTAGCAGACTGTTGTTATCATTGTGCTCACTCCTACTAATCATTTACTGAGCAGTTATGATATGTAGGCCCTGTACCAGGTGCTACACACCTGTTACTACATTTAATTCTTGTGACATTGAGGAGTTGGATAAGTGAACAATATAGTTTTAGTAAACAATTCAGATTTAGAATTTTGAATATACTCTTCAGATTATTTAGCCAGAAATCTCATTTTCAAGTACCTATAATTGTAAACAAGATAAATTATCTATAAAGACTCAAGAAAAAATATAAATACAATCTTAAAGACTTAAATCAACCTCACTTTCTATTTGTATCTCCAACTCCCATCATACAAACAACTCCAGGCATTCAGAAATACAAAAAAAGTCTTACAAGGAGTAGTTAGGGCTAGGAAGAAATAAGTATAAGAGGCTATTTAGTTAATAATGAAAATGAAGAAACTATATACCACAAATATTATTCATATACCTGTGACCAGAGTTGAATTTCGAAGTAACTCAGAGCTTTATAAATTTATTCTCAGAGAAAGTAAAAGAAATCAAGCCATTCAAATACAGAGAAAAATGAACAAAAGTAAAATGAAAAGCTGAAGTTAAATAAGCAAAAACTTGACTTTGAAAGAATAATAAACAAACGAATACAAATTGAAGTTGGAAGTAACAAAAGAGATACAGCAACCAGCACTCAATTATTAGACAAAAAAAAGACTTTAAAAATCACGATGAAGTACTAGAATACAAATTCTTGACATATAAACATATGTGAAATGAATTGGTATTAGCAACACAAATAAGTTATAAATTCATAAATAAGAAAATTTTTAAATGACCAATGACTCAATAAAAAATTTAGATTTTTTTATCTAAAATATGTGACTATAATGATCCATTGATAAATTTTTTCCAAATTCTGAGTACATAACTAATTCCTGTGTTTTATACATTTTTCTGGAACATATGGAATTATGAGAAATATCTCAGTTTTTTAAATGTAGCTGTTGGAAAATGAACAAAAGAGCAATACCTAGCTTAATGGGATTATAAACAATATATGCACATGTGAATCACCATGCTGTAATCCCTTTATACTATTAATATACATTAATATAAATAAATAAGACATCAAAAACATAAATGTTATCTTAATCCCAAACAAGACTGAAATAGCATAAAAGTCAAAATTTTTGTGTGCAATGCTAAGTACGAAGAAAGATGAAAAATAGCTACAAGCTAGTAGTAAATGAAAAGCAATTCAAAATTGTGGAAACAATTAGTCCACATTTGATAAATGGATATAGACAGAAACAGTAAAGAGTTTTAGAAAAAAATGAAGTTAATTATAACAAGGCAGATTAGCAGTTAATTGGTCATTTAAACATAATTTTTTCTTAGAAATTTCTTTATGTTGCCCAGTAAAAACAGGGTCACATGCCTGTGAAATGTACCCAGTGTGTTGAGTCTTTGGGAAATGCGTGGTCTTTTCAAAGATGACAAAATACAAAGTCAGAAGGAACAGTGCACCTGGATGATGCTTTTCAAAGCTCAGTGTCTTGGCTGTTTATTTTTATTAAAGCTTCCAAATGTACTTGGTCCATATTAAGGACTACTCCTTTGCCAAGTTCTATATTTAAATAAAAGCCTATTTTTTTTCAGTTATGCAACCGATGAAAAAGCAACTTAGACATGTAAACTTCTCTTTTTTTTTTCAAGTATGTGTGTAAACTTAATAAGAATAGTCTGAATTTTTAGGGATGGAAAATTAAGAAAGAGGGCTGAGTATGTAGTTTAAGAGGTACAGTGCCTGCCTAGCAGGTGCAAGGCCACAAGTTCAAATCCAATGACTGCCACAAAAGAAAAAAAGAAAGAAACACAGAAAGAAAGAAAGGAAAAGAAACAAAAGACAGAGACTGATGACCTAAGAGTGTTCTGCTAAATTTCAGACCAAACAATAAATGGCCATTTTCTGGGGAAACTGGGACAACATGGCTGCAATTGTAGCTGGGCCGACATGCTTGTATAAACAGCACAGCGGATTTCAAGAAATGCTTTCTGAGCAACTGCTATGGTTTTCTTTGGCATACAGGCTTATTCCGAATTCCTTCAATTCCATCTGTTTATAGCTTTCTTTCCTCACCTAAAAAGAAATTTCTGAATCTGCTGTTAGCTCACACCCCTGCCCCACTGTGCTCAGTAGTAAAAGGATTTTAACTTTGAGTTTTTAAAAGAACACCTCTAAGCACTATTCATTAATTTATATTTGCTGAGAAATTTTATCCAATCACTTTTGTACAAGAGTTGCTAAGAATAGATTTCATTAAGTATGTGGAGTGAAAATGCCAAATGAAACTTGGTGCATGAAGGATAATGAGTTTTAATTTCACTTGCTAAACCGTTGGAGGGAGAAGCCTTGTAGATTACAAAGTAGTAATCCTAATTGAAAATATTAGTAGGAATCATCAATGCATATAAACATATTTTTATTGACTTTTTGTAGATCATTTTTGTCAGTAACGTGCAGTCTTTGGCATTGTACCAAGGGCATAGTAGGCCCTCAATAAATACTGGTTGACACATTTCTGACAGCAGCATTTACATTATCAGTGATCAGAATCAGTACAGTCATTGCTCTAAATACAATTAACTATCACTCAAAGAAATTAGTCACTCAGTATATCCATTAAGTGAAGTCATGTAAATTAGAACTACTACAATCCATTTTCATCATGTTAGGTAAGGAACGGTAATCTTCAGATGTTTGGTGGAATGAACTTATATTAGAAGTTGACATCTAAGCCTCTGGCACCTAAGTGGTCTGAGGTGTCAGGATAAGGGCTTTCTAGCCATCACCTCTTTCTCTGTTCCTGTCATTGTTCCTCATATCCTTCCAGATGAGACCATCCATGCCACCTTATAGAGGGAGTCCTCACTGGAACCTGGCCTAACTTGGATTTGAGTTTGACTTTACTCTCAAAGCCAAACCTATTATGTTTCCTTTACTATGGAGGGAGAGAATTTTCTAAGAAGTGTACGGATAAGAGGAAAGGTACACACCTTTCTACTCAGCTTGTGTGTGTGTTGTATATGTGTGTTTCTTTTCACAGCTCATAAATGAACAGCTTATAGATGGCTAGAACATTCAAGTAGTTATTGTCCAAGCTTCACTGCCAGTATGTAATTCATAAATGCATACTGCTCCCAAAGGATGAATGTTTAAGCTTCATTTTATTAAACTGTCTTAATTAGATGCATCTGGTATAGCCAAAACATCCAGGCCATGGGACTGTTTTTTGTGTTAATATGAGTTAATCAGGTCAGCTTCTCCTCTGCTTGGCTGAGGTAAATGTTGTCTCTGAAGGCATGAGATTTTGATTGAGAGAAAAAAGAAGCTATTCATTGGTACATGGGACACTTTGGGAGGTAGGGGCCTTTTAGACTGCCTGCCACTATAGGAGAACTGAGGTGAAATGAGAAAATGAAGCATTTGGGTTACTGAAGAAAGAGGAAGTAGGAAGTAGAACATTGGGGAGGATGGCAAAGGCCAGCTGCCATTTCTAAACATTGTTTTGTTGACAAATTGCAATCCTCAAAAGGGAGAAGATGCTGTTTGTTCTTTTTCTCTTTCTCTTCCAGCAAACTTGTGCACTTAAATTTAAGCTGATATCAATAGTAAAATTCAGGTGTCTTCCTAACTCAACATATCATTGGGTCAGCCTGGGATCTTACTTTAGATGACAGTGTAGTTTCTTTGCAGAAATGCACTGTGGGTTCTTAACTTATAGAACAAGTACTCCCCAGGACACAATCCATTTGCCTGTGAGGTGTGTTTACTCACATCCAAGACTGTTTGTAAGAGTGGCTCCATGCAGGAAGCTCACTGGAGCCCTGCAGTTGGTGCTTGGCCACCATCAATGAAATGTATGTAAATGAACCAGTAGAAAGATTTTAAAATGTGCCTTTGCAGACTGTTTTGAACAGTGAACAGGCACCTCTGATTGATTTGTGCCAGTCATTTCAGGATTTGTGTTTGGAAATAGCTTCAGGAAAGTCACATGGCCGTCCAGAGGGCTGTGTGAAGGGACGGTGTGTGAAGGTATTTGTGTGCACACTGTGTTTCTCTTTTGGATCTTG